ACCTCTGCGCCCACCCTGCCTCTTCCTCAAATGCTTCTTGGTTTTTTCTTGGCCCATCCCCTCCAGGAAGCCTTCCTGGCTGCTGCAGCCTACGCAGATCCCCCGCTTCTGAGCTCCCACCAGCCCCGCCAGGAAGTCGGAGCCACAGGGCCCCCCCAGTTGACTCCTCTCTGAATCTGGTCTCCTCTACCGGCCAGCAGGGGAGCTCTCAGGGTTCCCCCTTCATTCTTCCCTCCAGTCCCCCTGCAGCATGGACAACTCAGGCCGCAGATGCCCGGGCCTGGGTGAGAACCAGGTGCTGGGCTGCGCAGGGCTGAGAAGCAGCAGCCAGGGTGGGCAGGCGTCAGATGACACCCAGGTTTTCACCCACCCACAAGGCTTCCAACTGTGCGCAGAGCAGGACAGGCAGGGGGGCGCCAGGCAGCCTCTGTTGCTTGTTCTAAGCCTCTGGGCCCCAACCACAGAAGGGGCGGGCAGGAGGGTGGGGGTGGGGGGACGCCGAGGGAAGCTGCGGTTGGAGGCCCAGCCCCACTGAGGCGTACAGAGCTAGTGTGTGATGCGAGCTACTCTCATCACAGTACCTCAAAACCAGGAAGAGAAACTGAGCAGGCAGAAAGGGCGAGCTGGGCTGCGTGGGGCCCTCAGGTCCCTGGGGGCCCGCCAAGGGGAGCTCCCGGACAGTCGCTGGACAAACCACTCCTCCCTTCTGGGCCTCAGTTTCCCCATGGGAAAAAGGAGATTCTCTCCCTGGTCCTGCCAGACTGTTCCTGATTGGTGCAGGCTGCATCCTGCCCAATAGAAGAGACCCCTCCCCCCAATTGCTGGAGCATCCCTGATCCCCCAGTGGGCTTTGGCCTCTCCAGGGGTGCAGGGGCTCGGCCCCCCCAAAGTTAGCTTCACCCTGCTCACTTCTCCCCTCAGCCACGCAGGGAGCACACTAGCTCTTCCCTCACCAGCTCTTTATTTTTAGGTCTGAATTTGACTTTAATCATTACTTAGCGGATTCTATTTCCAGCCCTCGGTTGAAGGGACCCAGAGGAGAGGAGGAAGGGAGGCAGTGCTCCCTGCCTGCTCCTCCACCCATCCTGTCCCCAGCCAAGGAGGGGGCACTGAGAAACACCCAAAGGGCTTGCCCCAGCCAGGCCAGCATCTTGGAGAGGACCCCACCCTGTGACCTCATCCCAGCCGAAGCTGTAGGACAGAAGTGCAGTTGTAATGCCCACTTCCCCTGCACCAAGACCAAGGAGGGAAGCACCCCACAGGCAAAAGTCTGGCAGCCAGAGTCTGAGGTCACGTGTCTGGGGGAACTCTGCATTGAATGGGCCATCTGGGGGAGGACTCCCTGCCTAGGAGAGTCCTGGACTGTCCTAGGGTTACCTAGGGCTATGGTCTCTTAGGCCCTGGGAGTGCCAAGCTGAGACTGGTTTCCTCCTACGGTCCATGGGGTGGCCCCAAGAGGGCATTCCCAGTTCTCTGGTCTCCAAAGAAGGAGAACTAGAGGAAGCAAGTGATGTCACAGCAGTACACACTCAGGTTAGACGTGGGGAGCACCTGCTGAAGAGGAGGACACTAACACACAATACTTCCCCGGTGATCTGTGGACATCCACGTTCCCTTCCAACTCCCACATGGGAGGCTCGAGAATCCCTGACCCCCCAGCTTTCTGCCCTCCCTTGGCCACTGGGAAAGGGTGGGAAGATGAGGCTGGCATGGCTTTCCTGGGCTGGGGCTCATGATGCCTGGGTTCCCTGCCCAAGCCTCAGTTTTTTCCGGAAAAGTAGGCCTCTTATCTTCACTGGGGAAGTTCGGGGCTGGCCTAGGACACAGCCAAAGCTGGGGGACAGGAGGCAGCTGGGCTCTCAGAGAAGAAGCCTTGTCCACTCAGCTCTGATGCTGGCAGAACAAGAAGAGGATGGGTAGTGTCAGGCCCCAGAAACCAACCAGTAGCTCCTCTTCCCTTGGCAGCCAATCACGTGGTGACGGGCAGCGGGGAGGGCACGGAGGTAGGACAGGCACTGGCTAGAGCAGTCCAGAGCCGCAGGGGCAGAGGGCTTCAGAAGAGCTCCTCGAGCAGAGACCAGCCCTCAGCCTGGTCAGCGGTCAGCCCACCTTGGCCCAGGTGTCTTCCCCACATGTTGAGGTAGCCTTCGGTGGGCACTCCGTCACCAACACCAGCCCCTCCTCACATAGTGCCTACTGGAGGCCAGAGGCTGTGCTCGGCACATTCTAGGACCTCGGTTGGTTAGTTCACACTGTGCGCACACTCCCCTCTGAAGCAGGATCACCGTCCCCGCTGTGTACACAAAGGAACTCGGGCTCAGAGACTGACTTGTCCAAGGTCCCTCCACTCTGGCCTCAATGGCACAGCTGGGCCTGGAACCCACGTCGGCTGGGTGCCAAGTTGCCCACTCTCCCCGGCACCCCTGGCTGCTTTGGGGCCTGTAGTAACAACCACCACAACAGCACGACAGATGGAAAGCAACAGTGCACACGCTTGGGGTGAGGCTGCTGTGGCAGAGCTATTTGGAATATTCTGTAGCTTTTTAGAGGCAAAGTGACACAGACCGTGTAGCAACATGAGAAAATGCCCAGAGACACAGTATTAGATGAAAAAAGGTGTCGTGGCATGCACATTCAAATGACAACAGCGACGAGGGAAAAAAAAATTAGGAGAGGCTGGCAGGGAACTCCGAGATGCTAACAGTCACGGCGCCGGTGGGGAAATAGCAGTTTTTTGTGTTGTTTTCTAAATTTCCTGTAGTGCTGTTTTGTTACTTTCTAAATTAAGAAAACTAATACATACGCAGTGTTCTCATAAGGAGCTCAGATTCGCTTCCCTGGGACCTGCCTGACCCCCAGCTCTGGCCCTGGTGTCTGGCATGTCTTCTAGTCTTCTACCACGGGACAGCCTTTCCAAGACGAGACAGGACATCCTCTCAGACACGTGAGGGTCTCTCCCTACCTTCTCTTTACAAGACCAAACATCTCTGTTCTTTGGAGACTGTGTCAAGGCTTCAAAACCCCTCAAAAGATGGAGCCCAGAACTGGACCCGGGCCATCCTGTCCAATCAGACCACCTGGCGGCTTGCTGGGGCAGCCACGTCACACTGGATCCTGGGCCTCAGCCCCCGCCTCTACTCTGGGCTGCTCCGCGGTGGCTCAACCTCTTGGGGACCAGTGCCCCCTGCAGTGGTGCTGGAGACCGTCTCCTGGTCTTTTCTTGCCCCCGACCCAACACGGAGAGAAGACGAGCCACTTCTGGGAGGGAGGCAGGCATCAAGCTCACCAAATAAAAAACACATCCCGGCATAAGTGCTAGCCTGAAGCCAGACCCCTTTCTACAAAGGACCGGGGACACCGGCTGCACCGTACAGCTCACAGTTGGTATAAAAGCGCCCAACCATGGCAGGCCTCAGCCCCAGCCCCTTAGGCTGGAAAGGAAGTTAGGGCTGGGTGTGGAGCTGGGTGAGGGGAACCTCACAGGCCCACATCTGGGTCCCGTCCACTGTGCATGTCAGGGCAACCAGAAAAAACTCTAAATCAAGGGCAGAGGCCTAAGCAGGACAAAACTGCCAGGGGCCCCAAGGGGCCCCAGACATGGTTCAGCATCCTCCAGGGAACCCTCATCCTTCCAAAAGCAAGAGGATCCTGCCACACTCCCAATCGCCCTTCTGGTGCCTTCCCTCTGTTCCTGCTGCGGCCCCACCAACAAAGACATTGGGACCCCCAGGGCGTTGAGAACTTGGAACAGGCGCCGTGGTGTCCCCACTCTGACAATGCTCCTATGCCAAGGCTGTAGGGTGCTCCCTGTGGAAACAGGGCTCTCACCTTCCCCCTCCAGATCCCATTCACGTTCTGAACTTGGCTGCTCCTATACCAGCTGAGCCAAAAGTGTGGGAAGGCTGGGTCGGGACTGACCACCAGGCTGTTTCAGCTCAGCACCAGGGCTACACCACACGAGTGCCCCCATATCCCCTGCCAGTGGGACCCAGCCTCAGGCACCAGGGGAAATCCCACAAGCAGTGCCGATGTTGCCTGAGCCCAGACCCAGGCAGAGCTGGGGCCGGAAGCCCTTTCCCTCCTCTCCAGCCCTCTGCAGGGGAGCACGTGCTCACCCCACAAGGTCCCTTGGGCCAGGCTGGGGCCCTGTGTCCCCGGTGGGTGAGGGTGCCTGCCTAGTTTCCCTGCACCCACAGCAGTCCAACTCTGCAGAGAAGGGGATGAAAGGAGGGACGGCCTAACTCTGCCAGAGGCCTGGGGTAGCAACTTCCCCCTTTGAGTGTCAGTTCTCTGATCTACAAAATGAGAGAGGAGGTGAACCCTTAGTTAAGCTCCAAGGATCTGGTGGCTGGGCACGCCCCTTCCTGACACCTGGCCTGGGCCCTGAGGAGGCTGGGAGAATGGGCTGACCAGGCTGCCAGGAGTTGGGGGCATGGTCCTAATGCCCAGTGTCACCTCCACCCAGGACAGAGGCCTTGCCCAGTTTCCCCACCCAAGGGTCAGAGGTCCCTTGGCTTAGGCCTGGTCTTCAGGGAGGCCCAGAGTGAGAGGCTCACCCTCTGGCAGGCTCAAGGGAGGTGGCTGGGCCCTGGGCTTTCTGAAGCCGGCAGGGCCTCGGTGGGGGAATGAAGGAGGGGTCAGAACCAGGCAGGCCGGGGAACCTGTGGGGGGCCCTGGACAGCGAATGGCAAACTGTCCGTTTTCCAGGGCCCTGGCCCATGCTGACCCCCTCCCTCCAAGCTCCAGCCAGGCCCCACACGGGGGGTAAGGTGAAGACAGTCAAGTGGTGGCCTGAGACAAGTCCGTGGGGCTCGCAGGGCAGTACCTCCCTCGTGCGCTCCCCTCCCTGTCGGGCTGACAGTGACTCCCGGGAGAATTCGAACGCGGGAAGGAGGGGGGCAAGGGAGTGGGGGATGGGAGTGGAAGCGACGGCAGCTGCAACAGCGGCAACAGAAGCGGGACGTGCGACCTCCACCCTCCTTGCCCCGGGAAGCACTCACCTCTCTCGGGGCACTGCGGTCCGGGCCACCTCGCTGCGGGCAGCATCAGCGGCCTGCGGGACAGTCCATGCAGCCAGGGGGGAGGGGCGCAAGGGTCCCCAGGGGGTTTGGTACAAAGAGGTATGGGTGCGAACAAGGGGGAGGAGGGACGGCCAGACAGAGGCAGGGGGATGGCCGCGCGGCCCGGGTCGGGGAGGGAAGAAAGGCGGGGGAAGGGGGGCGGGAGGGAGTCGGGGGAGGAAACAATGTAGCCGGCGCGGCCCCGGCAGAGTTCCGCTTCCCAGCGCCGCCACCGAGGTTCGATTTTGGACCGTCGCGCCGACTGCCGGGGGCTGCCCCGGACGCTGGATCGGGGGCCGCGGGGCTCCCCGCGCTCCACGCCCCGGGGCTCCGGCGGCCACAGGCTGGCTGGGGCGGGAGGGACGGCC